TATTTCCCTGGCAAGGGTTTGAAGCTCAGCAAAAGGCCTGGCAGCTGATTGTTTGTAAAGAGCTCTGCCCTGATCAAAGAAAAAACAGCCATTGGTCTGTCATGTTGTAAATTTGAGTACGTCACTCCAGTAACATGAATCTCATGTTCATTTCCTAAAAATGATCCTAATGTTTTCCAAAGCGATCTAATTGACCTGTAAGACAATGGCAATTCATCCACAGTTCTTTGCAAATCCCGAGACCCTGAAACGAATAAACGATGAGTGATTTGAACAGCCTAATTTAACAAAAAGGTCTCTGAGCAAAGTGTTCAATACTTTTAACAGGGCAAAAAAAGTATCGTGTCCTGATGAAGAGACCATGTGTGAAAGTGCTCAATCACTAGTATCTATGGCTTAGTTTTGGGGATGTGTTGACCCAACAGCGCATAAGCAAAGGCTGAAGATGAATAGATATTTTTAGGTCCTTGGACAATATCTAGTGGGCAAAAAACATCAAAACTGGTTTTGCACAAGATAAAAATGAAGTGGTTTTCTAACTTTTATGAAACATTTTATCATTACAGTACAAAAGAATGTGCCCTTTTTGGAAGCTGAGTGTCATTGTACTTTTAATTGTTTGCCTTGATTGCAATTAGCTGTGCTTTAATGAAAGGGTTTCTAAATTTGTTTTGGTGTAAAATTATTAAATAGATGTTTGTTTGTGTTATAGTTATCACATTTACTGGTAGTTTTCTGTGCTTCTGAGAGAGTGAAAACAGGTCATGACCAGCACAGAATTTGTGTGTGAAAAGATTCTGCCTAATTATTGTACAACACTGTCTGTCTTTTTTTCCCATTACTGAGCACAAAACTTTTTTATCTTAAATTATAATGGTGGTTTTGTTTTGCTCGCTATTTTAAAATTGATTTGAACATAATTAAATAATTTCACAATGTAATTCCATCTTGAAAATCATGTTGTGAGCAGAGAAGTATTCAGACTGATTGCAATCACAAGCTAACAGACTGATCAATATTTTGCTGTTTCTCTTCTTCCACAGACTCATTTAAGATGTTTTGATGAACTTTTCTGACCCGCAGCTTAAGCAGCTCAAGCTTTTATTTATGTTTTTTTTTAAATAACTACCAGCAGAAAAGTCTTTTGAGGAGCCAAGGCTGATCCAGAACTCCCACCAAAGACTATAAGAGCACTTTAAACTTTTTGTGTTCGTTTGTGGGAGCAATGAAGATTATTTTTACATCAGACTGCTTTCTCTTGAGTCAAATCCAGTATTTCAGTTTATTCAGATAAACTGTATAATTTGTACTCTATATACATGCATATTGATTATCTGAATTTTGATGAATATCATTAATTATATGATTTTGAAAAGGCAAGTTAAATAATATTTTCTTTTCATACTTTCAGTACTCTGAACACTTTCATGGGCTAAGAATTTACAAAGAGGTAGACCAGGATCTTCAGCCCACCAGAGCTCCCCAGAATATAAAATAAAGTCCAACGTAATCTATTTGCAAGTAACGATTTTGAATTAATGATTCTTCATATAAAAAAGCAAACAAACAGCATAACATTATTCCTGTCGTTGGAGTTATATTTGAAACAACTGCTGGAAATTGTCTTATTTATCCCACTGAAGACCCTGAAGGAATTAACTGATGTTAGTCTTCAGGGTTTGCTGACTACAGCATTTCTCCACTCCACTGCAACGGTTCCAGTGTTTAATCCAAACAGCAATTCAGTTGTTCTTATCGGCTGCACACTTCACTTTAATTACTGACATGTTCTGGAATCTGCTACAATTTAAGACCTGTAGACTAGGTTTGGTGGACAGTGGTGTGGCCAAGAGAGTGTACCTGTGCCTCTTTTTCTTGCAATGTCACTTCCTGAAACTTTGTATATTCTTATATGCAGTAAGGAATGAGAAGATATTCACAATTCCCTGTGCTTAGCTACCTCAGGCTATCAAAAGTCTGAAGAGGTGAAAAAAATAACATTATACAGTATGTTCCCAGAGAATGGGAGAGGTAAGAGCATATACTGTAAGACTGTAAATGAGTGTAAAAACAAAGTTTCAAATTGCTGCCTATACTCTAGATTGGCATGGATAACCTTATAACAAAATCCATTTAAAATATTTTAACACTGTGTATTGAAATAGAACCTTAAATGCATAAAATGTTCATCTACATTTTGAATTTTCTTATATACAGGTACGAGACTGTGGGAAATACTGTATAGTGTAATACCTACATTAATTTTCATTTTATAGAGTTCTCCTGCTTCTTTATGCCATCATATAAACATATTGCATGCATATGACATGGGATAATAGAGGTTAACAGTTAATACATTTTTAAGATTATCCATCCACTTTCTATTCCTTCTTCCTGGAAGTCCTTCCCAGCATGTAGTGGGCACAAGGCAGGATGCACCCTGGACAGGAAGCCAGTCCATCACATAGTGACTTAAGATTTAAACAATCACTGTTTTTTTTTAACCTGAAAAGCCTATTCATTGAAAAGCCCATTTAAAAATTATGAACCCTAAAACAGATGCATCAGATTTAATTATTGGAGGGCTCAGTCTCCTCTGGTTTTTGATTCAACCCAGACAATGTAATTTCTTGCTTAGACATCTATGGGATTTTTCTATGGGGTTTTTGTAGTTGTTTACTATAAGAACTCACTTCATTAAAGAACTGGTTAAAAACACATATGCAGCCAGTTAATCAAATAAGCTCTTGCTCTAAAATATCACAACAATGATATGAATCAGGCAGTCTCACTTCCAGTCTTGGAAATCCAAAGGAGCTTCTCATTTGTTTTCTTAATTACTTAATTGATTTAATTATTGACATAATTGGTCTGCATCAGTACCAGTACCTAATACTGCAAACACACTTTGCAGTACCTAAGCTTACAAGTTTAGTTTTAGGTACATAATGCATTTGTGAAAATGTCATAGTTAAAAGAAACCAGTTGGATCTGTAAAAAATTAAATGTTCACAGATAGCAAGGATCTTATATTGTGAGGGAAAAAGTATAAAGTCTGAAGTATAAAATTAAAGGAATGGATCATCCACACATTTTTCTGACTAATTTGTGAAATGAGTTCTAATTAAATATTCCTTGTTGTTATTCCTTATAATTTACTTCATCATCTGCTGTGCAGATAAAGGAAAGTGAATTTCAAACCATTCCAAAATGCCATATAATTGCAAATTACTCAGCTGTTATAGTTTGGACAAAATCATCCCTTTTCAACAGCGCACAAATGAATATACGTTTTTCTCAATCATTGCAGCATGCCAAGAAATGCTGCCAGGTTTCTTCTGAAAATTAACATCAAAAGTACCATTACTGTTGTTCTCATATTGAACAGACTTTTATTCTTTGAAGAATCCGAAAGACATTATTGTACGATTATTGTTGCCTGTTAGAAAGGTGATGGCTGGCTGAGTTAGGAAGCTTTTTAATACAGCACACTGAAACAGTTTTTCCACACAATTTCATAAACTATCCAAAATAAGGAAAAAATTGTTCAAATGAAGAAGATTTGCATTCTTAATGTACTACATGGAAAACTAAAGATGTCATTTAGTTTATTTAGTCTTTTGAACAGCAGTTCAAGTTATCTTTTAATTCAACACCTATTCTGAAACTGATATTTCAGAATAATTATTTCCTATGTGTTGTTATTCGCTCATTTTGGTTATTCACTCATGATGGACAGAAGAATCATTGAATGCTCCAGTCTCTACATGAACTGAGGACTGCTCTAGCAACATACATTTGATAAGGCACCCCTGTTCAATGAGTCATGTTTTTGTTTTCAAACATATTGTACTTCCAAAATCACTTTTCAGATAACTTCTAATATGCAACTATTCAGAATTATTCTTCTTGCTAATTTTAATTTTTTCTTCTAATGCCTCCAACCCTATTGCCATTCTAACTAATGCTTCCAATGATGACAAAGAGGGAGCTGCTGTACTTTTGTATGTGCAGTATGTGTTGTATGTGCTGTATGTTGTATACTGGGATTAACTCCCATCCAGTTCAACAAGGCTGGGTAGTCTGATGTGTACCCCTAAAAAATGTTGGGTAAAGAAGGGTAAAGAAATGACTCTTGTTATTGGTTTTAAAGACACTTTCCCACATTTTTCACTTGTTAAAATGTTCTTTAAAGATTTGAACTTCTGCTCTCCATTAAATTGCGCCAGATCAGTTATTGATTACAGTACCTGCTAATTAAACTAGAGGCGAGTGGGACTGAGGCATTTTCTCTCTATAATGGGATAATCTTCTATTTGCAGTCCTCATTTAATCAAGGGTGGACAGGGAGGGAGGGTTCAATCCCTTCATTAATCTCCTGCTCTGAATGTCACAGAACGGACATTGAGAGATGTGTGTAATGCAGAATGATTATTTGACAGCCCCAGAACAATTTCTGGACACCAGGGGTTTGCATCGGGCTCACTGAAAAATGAGCAGGATGCCTAAAGGCCTGCAGTTTAACACTGAATAGTTAGAAAGTTGAACTTCTCTTTAGTTTCTCCCTTAAAGGGGAACTGCAATGCTATTTTTATATTTCAGGACTAGAAAGAATAGGCATTGATGAGTGCATTTCAAACCACAATGATAGTAAAATGTACACAGTAAAACCAATTTACATAACAAAATAGACATTTACAGGTATATTCCGTGCCATATTCTGAGATTCAGTACAAGGCAACAAAATCGCTGGTGACGTAAAACAGCCATTGCTTTTTTTTTACTTTAATTACTTCAAGTATTACTTCAGTTTAAGGTTGTTGCATAATGTTGCTGAGCCCAAGTCGACATTTTGTAACTTCAGGGGCACCAGTGGCGGGAATGGAGAATTTAATCTTGAGTGATGTGCACTGGGCTGCCATGCTTTTATTTACCCACAGCACCAACATCCCTGTGGAAAGTTCTCTGGATTTGTTTAAAAAGTAACAGTTGTACGTTACCCTCCTGATGCCCTCCTTGGACTCCTCCACATTGTGCTCGGCCCCCCCAGTCCGGTTGATCATTTTCCACATCTGAGAGTACATGGTGTCCCTCTCGAAGGGATTCATGCCCTTGGTGCGCACTTGGTCGTACACGGCCGAGTCCAGCACTGTGCCATAGGGGATGTCAGTCTGCTTAGACAGGTCCTGGAGAGACCTGCATCAGGAGGAACACAAAGACAGAGAGGTCACACTCTCATTACAAAGCCACATTGCCTATTTCAGGTTTTAATGCATTACAGGGCCTAGTAAAAGTCACAACCATCTCTAGGAACAGTACCAGGTAGCAGTTATTTCATGACTATAGTATATTCTTTGGCAAATGTGCACAAAGAGGTAAGGAATTAAAATACAATTTCCACATTGGGAGTACAGACTACCATGCAGGGCCGTTTATTGCCTCCCATGCACATCTTTTGCAAAAGTTGCATTATGCGGAAACCACTTTGCTGTAATGCTTTTGTGCTTTCTTTAATGCTGTAAGCTAAAAGAGAGACTTCAGAGTAGTGCTGTAGCACTACTGGAGCAGTGTGCCACACATCAGAAAATATCACCTCCTGCCAATGTCAAACACATGTTATTTACATTTTGAGATGGCACAGAAGTATAAAGAAACAGACATAAATGCATTTTTGCAGAGTTTTAAAGATTTTTAATTGTTATTCTGCTTTCCCAACGCACAGAACTGAAACAATATTAATAGGAGAACAAGGCAGGTTTAAAAAATGTAATTATCCATCACTGTTTTTCTAGAAATAAGTACTATTGCACACTGCATCTCATGAAGATGCTGGATCATTATGCTGTATGCTGTATCATTATGAAGCCTGCCAACATAATGGTTTCAGTACAGGGTTAAATTGATGTTTGGACTCAATCTTGCCTTAGGTGTCAGACTACATCACAGAACTTTTTTAACCTTTTCCATTAGAATACATTAATGATCTATCATCAAATGAAAAAAAAACCACAATTAAATAATTTACAAAATTTCATGTGGTGAAAATGTTTTAACTAGGATGTAGTCTCACCTTGTATATTGTGCTATTTGGTCGCTACAACCCATAGCAAGAACATGCACAATCATATTGACATTCCCTTTGCCTAGATTTCAGTTCATACAGTAGTGCCGTTTGTTAGGTGTGGCTAATTGGCTCTGTCACACTGCTGTTCCCATAGATCCCTGCTCCCTCAGTGGTAACACATTTCCAGATGATCCTGGCTCTTGACAGTGAGTTGCCTGATCAACACTTTTACAGCAGATGCAATTGGTTCAACTGCAAGCCTAGTTAGTTTAGTAGCTTATATACTGTAACATGGCTGAGTGTACAGCTTGTAGTCAAGCCTAAACAATTAGGAAGGAAGAATAACACTGTTATAATCTTGTTTACTGAAACCCACAATTCCTAAGAAGGTTTACAAACAAAAGCTCTTAATATCAGTGTATATTAAATTGCCTGGAAAACAACTGCACTGAAAACATCATGTCTGTTTGGTTGAACAGTGGCATAGCCAAGCTGACTTGGAAGAACTTTGACATCCTCTGCCAGGGAAACAACTGCAGCTCAGCACTTTAAGGTCTAAGTTCTAAGGTCTTAAGGTCTTAATGACTCCTGTGTACCCCCTTGTGGTGAAGGAGAGAAAGATTACAGATCTCCTTGTTTATTACACTGAACACTGTATGGCAGGTGTAAAGTCTATCTGATGCAGTTTAAAAAAAATCATGATTACAGTACCTCACCCATCTCAGCAGATTTAGAAACATATTTCAAGATATTTCTTTTTTGTGTCCAGACAACTGGAGGCAGTTGATCAGGCAATTGTACTGAAGTCATCATGTCTGGTTTTCAAAATACTTCAATTCAGGACTTGAAAATTTTCTTTAACCTTTCTTGGGCTGGATCCCAAATCCACAAAGCAGGTTTGTAAAAAATATGCCTTTTATTGAAATCTATCAAATGCACAGTACCATATCCTGACTAAATGAGAGCAATATATTTGCAGATTCTAATGTTTTGTACAAGATATCAAAGCCTTACAAATGACAAAATTCAAATGCGAGATTAAATCAGGAATTCCAATATGTATAACATCCTGAAATCATATTAATAGGAGTGCTACAGGTATTTCATCTAATACCCAACCTAAATCAAATCAGTTTAAAATTATAAACAGAATTCAACATTCTCCTATCACATTATTAAATGTGGATTGAAACAGGACACTCATTGCTGGAGGTGCATTTGCAATGATAGAAGACTGTTACACTCTATGATCGGAGTTGCTGTAACTTAAGTCAGTACTGTGAAACATCTCTTGGGATCCTGTACTTGCAATTTTAGGAGATTTACCAGCACTCTATTTTAGTTATAAAAAAATCCTAAATGCAACTCTTACAGTACTTCTATACTGACTTTCAAGGAAGCTGGTGTACGCCCCAGTTTGGGAACTATGGAAAAATACAGTTTTGGACATTATTAACCTCAAACTATTGAGCAAGCTCAGTTTCATATGAAACAAATTGTCATATCATATTACAAAAGCATACGTGAAACATCACAATTTTGACCAAACCCAACTTTGCTTAGAGCATAAGAGCAGTTTCTGAGATTTAACCAGATCGGGATAAGAGATAATGCTTCTGTCAGAAACATCAAGAATTGTTTTAATGCAGCATGACTGCATTAAAAATTAAATAATATTTCTCAAGAAGGGGCTACTTTAATTCTGATGCAATCAAAATATGGGTTGTGAACAAGCATCTACAATAACAATGACAAAACACAGAGAAAGATATACAGTATAAAAAAGGAGGACAGACACAGCAGACATTTCCCAACACAAAAAAGATTCTTCCAACTCCCTTGTTTGTCTTTGTTTACTAGACACGCAGGAAAGTTTAAAAAGCCTTTTTTCTGGCATGAAAGCAGTCAACCAGCTTTTTCTGTTCTTTTGATGGCACAAAACCACCTGCTGTTGTTTTGGAAGTAAAGGCTTCACATGTGCAGCCCTTCTTCTTTCCTTGGCATCTGCTCCGTTCTAACTGACATGCACATTGTAAGAAGCAGGACTGATTTCACTGTGTGCACCTCCTCTGCACTGGTAAGCTGTATTTTGCAAAAAAACTACTGTGCAAAAATTGCAAACTAATAATAAAACCTACATTTAAAAACACCAAGAAAAAAAAAACTTGATTAAAACTATTGTTTTACTCTCTAAAATACTTGTACATGACAAACAGCTGTTTCATGGTAAAGAAGTAACTTTACTGACTATGAAAAATCACAGAACCTATGCACTCTAATGCTCGTTGGGGCTCATGTGTTTTATGTGTGTGTGAAGAACACCACATGCAAGTGGGAGCAGAGCCAAAGCAGAAGGTTGGCTACTCATGCCCAGCACTGGATAGTAGGATGGTAGCACAGTCCTTTCATTTGCAAAAATGCAGGATATTGTTACAGCTTAGACAGGTGACAGGTGCAACATGAGTCATCTCTGGTACAAGGCCAAAGGGGAATATGTTCTGAAGAGCACTTTTCTGAAATCATAATAATCACACATTTTTATTTAGAAACACTTTTCAAAAGACACAATGTGCTGTACTGTACTGCAGGTCCAAGCACTCATAACTACGCCAGTATGTGACTGAATAATAATAATATAGTTCAGATATGATGATGAGTGAGCCAGAATGAAGCACTCTAATAATAGCAATAAGTGATGCAGGTCCCTGGGTGACACATCATTTCTTTGTTCTATAGGATGCAGTAGGCAGCCTGAATGAGCAAAGCAGCTGTCTTTTAAACGGGACACGAACAACTAAACCTAACTATTCATGAGGCATCATAACTTCATTGCAATGATGATACACACAGGAATACCATCTTTGTGTTTAACACTGTATTAACCTGGTGGATTATTTTTAAATTTTTGCTGAAAGATACTATTCGAAGTCCCTACCATCTCGAACAATCCCTATAACATAGTGTGTAAAAGCTTATTCTTATGCCAACAAATGCTCTGTGCTCCTCATCCCTAGCTGTGTTTGAATTGCACAAAGACGTGTACCTATAGGAAATTATCTTTACACTCGTCTGGCACAATTAGTACTTACATTTCCATAATTATTATACTAAGCCTAGTTAAAAGAGGCTTATTTCCCCAGTGACTAGACTGCCCCCTCCAAAATCTGTTCAACATAATATTTACCTATAGTTTGTTCAAAGGTGAAACTACACCCACGATCTAAAAATATTAAGGATAAGGTTGTATAATAGTGCTCTATCAAGCATGAAGGAGGCTGGATATAAGCCATCTTGCCTTTCTCACAACAGAAACCCACACCTCGATTGAAGCATTAAACAGTAACTGAATGTGTGGAGCTGTGCAAGACAGTGTAAACACATTCTGTGTGAGGCTGTCAGAAGATTTTTTTAATTAGCTCTTTAGTTATCGAGAACAGTCTATACAGGCCCATTATTCTGGAGGAGTTTATATGAAAATATACTGTATATAAAGGATATATAGGCTATTGAGCTCTGTCAAAAATATATTGATGCTGTAATGTCACTGTACTCACTAACAAGGGTGCAGCTACTGGAGAAGGGGTATGAATCTACCTGCTGAGTGGTGTGGGAGTGAGTACAAGGCTGTTAAAACTAGTGCAGTTCAATATCGTCAGGTATGCTTGGGTCAAAGCTAGTGATTCACAAAACAACAGTACCGAAGACTTTCCCAAGAGTAGTTTAGCTTCCAAGCTGTGTTAAGCTGTGTTCGGAAGGCAAAAATCAGTTCAAAAGCACCAGGAAGGGAAAATCTGCAAACCAAAGGAAAGCAGGAGATTCAAAGCCTGTGTTTCCAACACTAGAGAATACGATCACTGAGACTCAAAGGGAATAAACTCAATGACAGAGCGAATAACTGCCAAAGAAACAGGAATAAATACCCGAGGGAATGAGGTAAATAATTATTTAATTGGTAGTGGATGGTTTTGATAATCTACCACCCATGGCGGTTTCAGACCGTGTAGTGGAGTGGCCAGTGGCATCAGGAATGGAGGCTAGAGAGCCTGCATTCCCATGGGCATTACAGTACCCAGCTCCCAAAGGGTGACCTCCATATATTTCACATATGAAGAAACCAGCACTGCACTAGAGG